GATGAAGACAGATGTACAGAAAGGTAGTTCTGTGGGTGTAGTGAGAAGCTTAAAAAAAAAATAAATAAAACACTGCCGTCGAGTCGGATCCTAGCGACCCCTCCTTGGGTTTCTAAGGTGGTATCGCTAGGGAATCACTACGGAAGTAGATTGCCCAAACTTCCTTCCGAGGAGTGGCTGGTAGGTTTGAACTGCCAGCCTTCTGGTTAGCAGTCAAGTGCCTTAGGCACTATGCTACCTTAGATGGGCGTTATTACCCAGAAAAGGGAGAGATCTCCAAGCCTTCTAATGTTAACCATGTTGGGGCCCCAGAGCCTTAGGTATCACCACAGGCATTCTCTTAGGGCCTGGAATGCAGCTTCCTTTCTTCTCCTCCTCATTCCCCTGCCTTAGCTGGCTCAGGCTGGAGCCCTGGTGTCTGTCCAGGTTTCTCTTGAGCTGCTCAGCCCAGGATCCCAGCCCTGCTTCTGGACTGGGACAGGCAGTGAGAACTGGAACTCAAGAAAGATGATTGGAGTTAGAGCAGGGAAGGAGCAAGAACTAGATGGGGGAAGGGTGGAGGTGTTAAAGAGTTGTGTCCTCTTATCCCAGGCCTTAGCACGTTATTCCTTTCAGGAAGCCCTCCCTCTCTGATCTGCCACACCAGGTTACTTCAGCTATGTTGTGACATTGGTTTGTGTTTCACATATCTCATGTTGTAGTAACTGCCAGTTTAAGTGATTGTTTCTCCCAGCTGGCTGAGAGTTCCATGAGGGCTGGCACTTACTGTGTTTTGCTGATGCTTCCATCCCAGCATCTAGGACAATATCTGGCACATGCTAGGTTTTCACTACACAAATGTTGGTTGAATGGGTGGTTGAGTGAGTGAAAGAAAGGCTAGATAGACAAGTGGAAGGGTGGATGGATGGATGAATGGGCTGATGGATGACTATATGGATGGATGACTGCATGGACTGATAGGTGGAGGGAAGAGTAAATAGAAGTATGGGTGAATGGATGGGTGGGTGGATAAATAGATGGATGGATGAACATATGGCTAGAAGGAAGCCTGAATGGGTAGATGGGTGGATGGAAGGATGGGTGAATGAATAAGATGCATGGGTAGATGGCAAGATGGGTGGCTGAGTGCTAAGATGTTCTTTATGCATGCAGGAGGCTGGTTTTTGTGATTGTTATTATAAGCTATCTTCATTCCATGAGGAATTTGCTCACAGGTCCTGATGGAGAAGAGGCAGGAGGCCTCACTCTGGATACCAAGCCTCCAAACGTCATTCAGACTGCCATTGGACATCTTCTTCCTGGCTCCATAAAGAAGTGTTTAGGGGATGGGGAAGTGCTCACTAGTAAACTAGACTGGTGCTTTGTGACTGAGTAAATATCATGCCCTTTCTGGGCCTTAATTGTCCCTTCTACAAAATGAGGGGCTCTGTATAGATGTATTTTCAAATGCAAAAGGTCAAATTTTAATGTAATCTTCAAACATACCCAAGGGGACTTATTCATGGTGCTAGAATAGTGTATATTTTATATTACCACAAAAATCAAATGGTGTCCAATAACTTAACTATGCCTAAAAGTTTGAATTAGAATGTTTGTTACACTTCATGTTCTTCAAAAAAATTACACTCCATTTTCTTTTCTCTTTTACACTGGGATGCTAGTTGGTGAGCTCCAAATACTGAGTATTCTTGCTAAGGGCCCTTGCAGCTCTAGGATCCAGATTCTCTTGTCTCTCTCACCTTCCTGTAGATCCTACAAATTAGGATGGTCACTGGCCTATCTCTATGATGGGGCTTGGTCTCTAAGGGCTGGGAACAGAGAGCTTGACTCAGAGGCTAGAAGGGGTGGTCAGATCAGCCGTTGCTAGGAATGATCTGACCATTTGTACACATTCCGATGGGAATTGGAACTACTGAAGCTGGCTTCTGACAACTATGCGCCCTCCATTTCTTTAAACAGATCTCCTTACTCTGAGAAAAGGCAGCATAACCGAGGTGAAACAACTCCACATGTCTTAGGACTTCTCCAGGCTTCAGCTACTGAGCACCACCAAGCACTGCTGATTAGAAAGATAATCTCAAGCTAGTGAAGACTTGTCATTCAGTAGTACTGCCCTGGGCTGATGAGGACCTGTGCACTGCCTTCAAGGGAGACTAGTTTAGTTGGAAAGACAGACAAGCAGGTAGGTGCAATGAAATGTTGCAAATGCCATGATTAGCATGAACCTCCATTTTTGCATGAGAGAAAACAATGGCTACGGGGTGACTTTTGAAAACTAGAATACTATCAAGGCCTTCTGCTGCCCTGTTAAGCAAGAAGTGGGGACTGCCTGAGGGAATTACAGATGGGAGTATGGTTGTTTACCACTGATAGGCCTCGCTTTAGACTAGAGCAGTGCTCCACAAACTTTAATGTGCATAGCGGGTCATTAAAATGCAGATTCTGACTCAGTAGGACTGAGTGGGGATTTCTCACAAGCTCCCAGATGACACTGGCGTGGCTGGAGGAGTGGAAAGCATGGGGAGGGGACTGGTGGGTTGAGGGAAGAGGTGGGAAGGAGGAAGCAGGAGCAGTTATGAGAGTCTGAGAGGGGGAGTGGCTTGGTGACAGGATTAATTTGCCTGAGGACAGTGACAATATGGACAGGCAGTAGTTGAGGTCTATCAGGTGCAGCTGACAAACGAGTCCCCAGCACCACTTACGCAGGTCAAAAGAAGGGACTGTGCAGTCTCTCCCCACCCTTGACTGTGGGCATCTATGGACGGGGCCTAAATCTCTCGTTTACCCCTGACACCACCCAGAAAGTCTTTCAGACTTCTGTCTCTCCTTCTCAGAAAAAGGAATAACCTTGGGCTTCTCTGCCAGCAAGAGTCCCGTTGGCACAGTTAATTGCTTGACTACTAATGAAAAGATTGGCAGTTTGGTTAGAACCCACTCAGAGGAGCCTCTGAAGAAAGGCCTGGCAGCAACCTGCTTCCGAAAGGTCAGTCTTAAAAACTCTATGGAGTTCACCTGTTTGGGGTTGTTTTTCTCTCTACCAGCAGGACGAGACTTGAGAGATATATATGCACTGATGGACATTTTCTTTCCTTTTCCACCCAACTGGGACCAGCAAGCCCAACTCCAACCCTATCTTGGCACCCAGCTGGCAATACCTAGCCAAGTCTAAGTCCACACAGCACTTTACTCTGGCTGAGCCTGCTATCTGGCCCTCCAGGTCTTTGCTCAATGTGTGGTCCAAAGAGGTTGTTTTACTCAAGGCCAAGCAAACAGGGAAGACAAAACTGTGGCCTCAAAGCAGGGTTCCTACCACTACTGGAAGCTTCCTGTATGGGCCTGAGGGGACCGTGCCCTCGCCAGCTAAACCACCCGTGTGTAGATGACTAGGATTAGAAGACAGTAATTTTCACCGCTGCATTTTTAGTTGTTGAATTCCCTCTCTTGTATGAAATAGCAGCAGACAGTTGCTTATGCAGATTTATACAGATTTTGATAAAGGAATTGGAAACCAAGTTATTCCCCAATTTTATCAAAGATTCGCTAGTGGGACTGTGAAATCCCAGAGCCTTGGAAGAACCCCTGGGCTGGTCCCAGGCCTCTCCCCCTTTGGTCAGCCACAGCTCTATCTTCCCAGGGGTACTGACCTGCATTTCCTATCCTGCCCCTTGTGCAAACTCATCCTTCATGATCACCTAGGAACATATCTTTGTAACCTAGAGGTTGAGGATTTCTCTGCAATACCTAAACTTAACCTTTGGAAAAAAAGAAAAAAAAAAACTGATGCAGATATCCAGGGACCAGATGGTTCATAGACACTTTGAAGTTTCACATGAAGTTCATTCATTTAATTTTTTTTTCCAAAAACTTTTGCATCAACAGCTGTACAGATACTTTGGTGTTCACCTATGGTCCCCCCTCAGGGAACTCTGTCCTGCCCAAGTACCCAGAGGAAGTCCCAGCTCCCCATCCCATAACTCTCTGGTACTTACAATGGGATGACCACATGGACTTGGGCTTGGGCAAGGTACCCTTCTTAAATTTTCAGAAAAATCAGACTTTTTTAGGGGTAAGTGGGGGTGGCCTGGGAAGTAATTTGCAATGACTTAGCGCATGTCTAGGGATGTGGGTATCTCTTTCTGACAAAGGAAGTCACCCAGGTTCTTTTCTTGGGGAGAACTGACAAACTGGGGAAAGAGGCAATTAAAACACAACAATCAAACCAACCTTTAAATAGTAACTTTTAAAAATATAAAAACAGCTCATTACAATGACTTTCATTTTTTTCTTCAGGAATTAACTTTCTTTTACCCTTGCCCTCCCTTGTGGCTAGAGCCTTAACAAGAAATGAGTATCTGAGACCCAAAGAGAGCAAGAGAGAGACTCTAGATGAGCCCCCCCACCACAGAGGTACAGGGTGCCTTGCTGGCCCCCACATCACAACTTCCTGTCAGAGCTGCTTGGCCTTGGAGCAAGATCACTGAAGTGCCTCCTCTTTTCTCACTAGGCAGAATCATACATTATAAAATAATCCATAAAAATGCAGTATAAAAATTATCTTCCATATGCTACATCCATGGAGAGCCCACCACCAGGGCTCACAACGGCCTTTAACTTTTTTTGAAAGAAGAAAGGACCGAAAAAGAAAAAAGAAAAAACAAGAAACAACCCCCCCCCCCAAGAAAACAAAAATAACCCTAACACCTTAGAACATTTTGGTACCAAAAAGTGGTACCTGCAGGAGACAATATCCTAACTGTATTGGGTCCACAGGATAGATTGAAAACAAAACCAAACCTGCCACCATGGAGTTGATTCTGACTCATAGTGACCCTTTAGGGCAGAGTAAAACTGCCCCATAGAGTTTCCAAGGCTGTAAATCTTTACGGAAGCAGACTGCCTCATCTGTCTTCCGTGGAGGGGCTGGTGGAACCACCGACCTTCTGGTTAGCAGCCCAATGCTTTAACCACCGCACCACCAGAGCTCCAGAGAGCCTAAAGTGGCAAGAAATTACCACAGTGTGAGACTGTCCCCACCTCCCACCCCTCAACCCTGCCCAGGTCGTGTGGAGTAATCCTTTCAGACTTGCAACCCTATAGGCTAATATACTTTTTTCCCCTGTAAGGAGACAGGCAGGAAAAGGGAGAAGGCATTTTATAAAAGGACATCACTTCTAATTCTTTTTATTCAAATTAAAGGGGGGAAAAAAAAAAAAGCACCCACATCAGTTGCTATTTTTCTCTGGTAGCTCCCTGAGCTGAGTTGCTATGCTTTCCTCTAACTTTCTTCCTTTTTAGGCTGTGTCTGAAGATTTAGGAGGGCCCAAGAGGGAGTTCCTTTGAACTTCCATTTCTCTTCACAATAACCAAGTGTGCACCAAAGAGACAGAGCGAGGCTGAGGAGAGAACGCGCGTTGAGAGAGAAACAAGAAGCAAGAGACAGAGGAAGAGGGAGACACAGAGAAGAGGCACAGAGCACAAGAGACCACTGAAAAGTCTGCTTCTGTTGATGTTACGCCTAGGCTGGCACTTGTCTCAAGCACTGTCCATCAGTCTGTCTGTCTGGCACTCAACCCTGACTTGGGTTGGATGATCCCCAAACCCACGCAGAGGCATGCTCATTCCAGTGGGTGCCTGAGGGCCAATCTCTTTATCAGCTGCAGCTCCCTTCTCCCAGCCCAAAGAACTTTCTCCTCATTCTATCCCCTCCTCAGTTTGCTCCCCAGTCCCTGTCTTCTTTTCCCAGATGGGAACTTCTGTTTTTGTTTCTTTAAAAAAAAAAAAAAAAGCCACCACCACAGTGGATTACAAATACAGCAGGCGAAATACACGGCGAGGGTTTCCCATGGCAGGGGTCCCCTCCCCCAATGACCAGTCCAAGATAGGAGTCTGTTATTTACATTTTTCACAAATCTTGTGCACTGCACAATCGGGAAAAAGAGACCCCCCCCCAACAACCCCAGCACAAAAATGTGGTCCACTCCAGTGTCCCTGACCCCAGGCGGGGAGGACAGGTCGATAGAAATGGGAAAAAGAGACAAAGATTCATGAGGGTGTCTGTGGGAAGCTGGAGCCACAAGCCTCCAAATAATTCTATTTGTAACATCTGCCAGGATTGTTATGGGGGGAGGAGGAGGAGGAGGTGGCAATCCATCCGCGTCTGTAAGCCACGTCAATCCATGGCCAGGAGTCCGGACCGTGACGGGCATGCGCCCTCACAGCCTGCCAGGGCACACAGCCTGGAACTCGCGGCTGCTTGAGGCCCGTCCTCCACGTCCTCCGGGGCCCTGTGCCCGGGGTCTCACTGTCAGAGCCGAGTCTGTTTCTCCCAGAGTTTGACAGCCCTGTTAGAGTCCTTGTTTAGTAGATGACCTCATAAACTGTGGCCTTCTTGTCACCAGAGCCCGTTACAATATATTTGTCATCCGCTGATATATCACAACTCAAGACAGACGAGGATTCTTTAGACTGGAGAAGGAAGACGAAGAGGAGACGCCGGAAGGTGCAGGGTTGGGGAGCGGGGAAGAAAAAGACAGAAGGTCATTGACTCAGGACTCAACTGTTCATTTCAATACCATCTGAATTAAACTGCCCTCCCCCCAGAGGGAGAGTGCTTGAACACAACAGAGACGAGGCTGGGAGATTGTCAAAGTCAGCTCAGAGAAGCCTCTTCAGTGAGAGATCCTCCTTCTACTTGCTTTTTCCATAAGGACAAGCTCATTACCAAGATCCATTGTGATCTTTTAAAAATAAATTATAAGGATCAAAGCAGGACGTATTAGCATGAGCATCTTTCTGAGTTTTAAAATAAAAGGCATTTCTATCAGAGCAATCAGCAGGCCAGACTGTCAGGCTGATGACATTATGAAAGGTTCTGTGCTCTGAGTTTTCTGAAACAACCAGTCTAAGTAGAGAGACTCTGAAGGTTATGTGCATGACACACTGGACACAAGACATTTCCAGCATGAGTCCAGAGTGGTTTGTGAACTATGAGAGAGAGAATGCAAGTGTGGGTGAGAGACAGAGACTGTGAGCAAAAGTGCATGTGTGTGTGAGTGAACAAGAGTGAGAAAATGTGTGTGAGAACAAGAGTATTTGTGTGAGTGAGCAAGAGCATGTGTGTGAAGAGTGAGAAACCGAGACAGAAAGCAAGAGTGCATGTGTGTGTAAGCAAGAATGTGTGTGTAAGCAAGAATGTGTGTGTGAGCAAGAGTGCATATATGTGCAAGTGAGCAAGAGTGTGTGTGTGCACATGCATGTGAGAGACAATGTGTATGTGCATGCAATAGGTTGGGCCCCAGATCTTGAAAAATTCTAAAATGCTTCTTCCTTCCCTCTTCTTACTGTGGACCCTCTTATACTGAATTGTTGAGAGAGGTGTGCTAACTGACTTGCACAGCTAACACTCCTCTGAAAAAAGGCTGCACATAGTTTGCGCAACTGCTGAGAGTACCTCCTGTGAGCACTCAGCACACAGGCCCAAGCAGAAGCACATTTTTACCCCTCTTCACTCTATCAATCTAGCAATATTATTAGCTGCTGTTCAGTTGGTCCCCAAAAATCACGGTGACCTCATGCACAATGGAATGAAACTGACTGATCCTGCACCATCCCCATCATCAGACCACTGTGATCCATAGGGTTTTCATTGGCTGAGTTTTGGAGCTAGATCACCAGGCCTTTCTTCTGCATCTGTTTTAGTGTGGCAGCACCGCTGAAACCTGTTCAGCATCACAGCAACACACAGGCCTCCACTGACAGATGGGTGGTGGGTGCAAATGAGTTGCATGGGAGAGAATCAAACTAGGGTCTCCCGCATAGAAGGCGGAAATTCTACTATCAAACCACCACCAATACCCATAACATCCTACAACCGCCCCTGCTAAGAAGGTGTCACCCTTAGGGGTCAGAACCATTAGCAGCAGAGCATGTGTTCCTTGGCCTTCCTGGGTCTCCATTTTCTCTGAAACATGAGCTGTGCTCACACACCAATATCCCCAAGTCCAGTGGTGTCACTAGGGTTAGTGTCATCCAGTGCAGTAACTCATGGTGTCACCCTGCACTGTGGGCAATGCTGGCCCAGCAAATCAAGCAGGGCCAACAATCAAGCTGTGCAGTCACGCCTTCATGGCCCCCTAAAGCTCCACCCCTCTCCCACTGGTCAAGGCAGAGACCATCCTCTCTGCTCAATGGCTAAGGGTGACTGCCTTAGGCTACATGCCTACAGCCTGTCCTAACTGGCTGCTTACAGGAGTGGGGTGGTAGTGACCAGTTTCAGCACTGGGCAAGGGATGACAACAATCCTAATGACTCCACTGCCTTGATGGTCTTTCTCCCCATAGCACACCTCTCTCTGCCCACAGCCAGATACCCAGGCGTTATTTTGATGCTACTCCCTCCAACAGTGTATGTGTGTTGGGGTTCACTCTGTACCCTCTAGCACCCCTCCAGTGATACTGACAAAGCCCTCTCATCTACAGAACCCATGTTTTATTCCCAACAGGTGGAGCTGGGATGGGGCAAGGGCGGTCTGACCCTGGGTCCTGATGCCTTGCTTCTTGCTACCCCCACCCATATCACAGTGCCAAGATGGTGGATTATACCTGAAATATGCTGGCTCCATAAGGTGTCCTCCAGGCGTTCAGAAGGTTATCTTTCCCAGTACTCACAAACCACTTGCCTGCAGGCAGAAGGTGCAGGAATTGTTAGCATGTGGCCTGCTGCCCTCTGAGCACGCGCGCCCCAGCCTGTCCACCGCAGCTGCCCAGACAAGGCTGGCTGCCATGGAAACGCGGTATGAACTGCTAACCAGCACTAAGCATGAATCTCCACTTGTGAGAGACATTTTACAAGAGATACACCTAACAGATACAGGGAGCCAGAGAAGGCTTTTCTAGGCAATCAAGGGGGAGCCATGGGAAGACTGGGATGGGAAAAGGTAGGATGAGTTAATCTTAAAGGTTGGATGCACCAAAAAAAAAAAAAAAAAAGGCACTTTTTAAAGCCATGGAGATGAACTGACCCCTCCAAATTCCACTACAAAAAGGTGGCAGGAAATCATGGAAACAGAAAAGCCCTGAGTCTGCAGACCCAGCACAAGAGAGCCATTAGTGGGTACCACTCTTCTGTAGAAGCACTCTGCCAGGGCTGCCCCTGTACAGACTCACTACTGCTCCCCAAAGCCACAGGGCAGATGCCAAGCTATTCCCATCTGCAAAGAAAACTACATGGGGGTTCAGAGGGGATGAGAGTTGTCCAAGGGGCCACAGCTAGTTACTGAGAGAGCAGTTATTCAAATGCAGTGCTCCAAGGTGTCAGTGCCTATAGTCTTAACCCCTTGGAGGAATGGACCATACTGCTTTAAGGAGCTGCTCCTTTGCAGAAACTGGGATTGTTTCTGGCCTTGGTGTCTTGAATGCTTGTACCCTATGCTAGCATGTGTATGTGAAGGGCAAGGTAGGGAGTGAGGGTGGGGATCAGATCCCTGAAGGGATAGCAAAGGGGTACTGGCTCAGGGTTCTGCTCCTTCTGTATGCTTTGGGCCCCTCAAGTTGGGAACTGGCCCCATGGGCCAGGCCGCCCGGCTCCCTCTCCTATGCATCGGTCCTGGCCACCAGCCCTCACTCATGAGGCTCACCGCAATAGGCAAACTTGAGGGAGAGCACACAGCTCTCATGCAGGTGCAGCTGGTACTTGTCGGGCTTGGTATGGTGCAGCACCTCCACGTTGCTGCTTTCCATGCCCACAGCCAGCCACTCCCCGGTGGGGCAGTACCCCAGAGAGAAGATCTGTTTGGGGAGGGGAGAGACACAGAGTCAGCACTATCTTCCCTCCAGAGCCAGGTGTAGTGCCAAAAGGCCCAGGCTCAGGTACTTTGGGGGTTCAGAGTCCCTTCCCTTCCCCTCAGGCCCCTTCCCATTTCACCTCCCCACCATTTGCAAAATAAGCCCTCCCCAAGGCCAATAACCCAGCAGTATGGGATATCAGTTTCAGTCCCCATTGTATAGGTGAGAAAGTTAAGGCTCATAGAAAATAAAGAGCCGTAAAACCAGGATTCAAAAAAGTACATAGATATTTCACTTTCAAAGCCACCCTGTCTCTGTGACAAAATTTTGCCTTTACTTAAGAAAAAATGTCAGGTAAATACAAAAATATTAAGTATCTAGTATTAAAACTAAAGTGAGTAATAAAAAAAAAAAAAAACCAATAATAATAATACCTGTGTTTTTACTGAATGATTTCTATGAGCCAAGTTTATGGCTAAAGCTTTAGCAGGATCAGTTCAGGTGCTCATCAGACTTCTGAGGCCAGCTACAATCACTCCCAAAAATGGAGGCCCAAGAGTTCAACATTAGTGGGGCCAGAATCAAATCCAAGCAGCAGAGTTCAACTCCAAAGCCTTACCCACTTGATTATACTGCTGCTTCCTCCAGGAAGCCTTCCCAGATTGCTGAGGTTGGTCCTACGTTCCTTTTACACCTGAAAATTGGGGCCCCTTAGGAGAAGGGAACATACTGCTGTCGGGGAGGCTAGAGGAGCCTCAGGCCTCGCACCTGGGAGGTGAAGTCATGCTGCTGCAGCTGCCGGCCCTCCCGCAGGTCCCAGGAGCGCACAGTGTTGTCCAGGCCCCCAGTCCACAGCTTGGTGCCGTCATGGGAGATATCTATGCAACTGGCCCCATCTGTGTGGCCCTGGAACTGCCTATGGAAATCAAGCAAGGGGAAGGGGTGAACATCACTGACAAGTCAAGCTGGCAGCAGTTCCAGGAAGTGGGCCAGCTCTGCCACTGAGCAAAAGGGAAATGGAGGTCCAAAAGTAGTACACCACCTGCCCAAGGTCCCTCAGTGAGCTGGCAGCAGAGCTAGGCCTGGGCCCTTCTGCTCCACTCAGGGTTCTGTCTGGCCTCCTGAGACTGGGGCCCTCCAGGGCTTTGGGGTTGCTTAGGCCAGGCCAAAGCGGCCTGGGGTTTCAGGCAGCCCACAGTGCTCTGGAGGAGGCAGCACTGGAGGCCCAGGATAAGGAGACAAGGTTTAGTAAGGCCCTTAAACATTTTCTTATTTTTATAAAAAAAAAACTCATAAGGTGATCAAAAAAGAAGAAGCAGGCCCCACTGCCTTTAGGACCTAACTCCTTAGCTGATACACAGTGGATCCTCTACTTGATGTGTTACTCCATCCTCTCACCCTGCAAGAACTACTTGGCCGATGAAGAAATGCTCACGATCATTAGCTATTAGAGAGATGCAAATCAAAACAACAAAGAGATACCATCTTGCTCCAGCACTAGTATCAAAGTTCAACAAGACAGAAAATAACAAATGCTGGTGAGGTTGTGGAGAGATTGGGACTCTCATACACT